GACATTGCAAGGGGGGTCTGGGCATGGTTACCCGGTGGCCTCCCGTGGGACATCGGAGTTACCCGGTGTCCCCCGTGGGACATCGGAGTTACCCGGTGGTCCCCGTGGGACATCGGCCCGTGGGACATCGGAGTTACCCGGTGTCCCCCGTGGGACATCGGAGTTACCCGGTGGTCCCCGTGGGACATCGGCCCGTGGGACATCGGAGTTACCCGGTGTCCCCCGTGGGACATCGGAGTTACCCGGTGGTCCCCGTGGGACATCGGCCCGTGGGACATCGGAGTTACCCGGTGTCCCCCGGGGGACATCGGGTAACTCGACCTTGCAAGGGGGGGTCTGGGCACGATTTACCTGGTGCCCCCCCGTGGGACATCGGAGTTACCCGGTGTCCCCGTGGGACATCGGAGTTACCCGGTGGTCCCCGTGGGACATCGGCCCGTGGGACATCGGAGTTACCCGGTGTCCCCCGTGGGACGTCGGAATTACCCGGTGGTCCCCGTGGGACATCGGCCCGTGGGACATCGGAGTTACCCGGTATCCCCCGTGGGACATCGGAGTTACCCGGTGGTCCCCGTGGGACATCGGCCCATAAGATGGCTCCAAGGGGTCCCTAAGACTGGGCTGGTACATAACTCCTAGGGCCCTGTTGGGGCCCTCTGAGTGCCCTCTTGGAGCCCTCTTGGGCCCCTGGTTGGCCCTAGGAGGGCCCCAAGAAGGCCCCAGGAATTATGTACCAATCCAGCGGCCGCTGGTACATAATTCCTGGGGCCCTCTTGGGGCCCTCTGAGGGCCCTCTTGGAACCCTCTTGGGCCCCTGGTTGGCCCTAAGAGGGCCCCAAGAAGGCCCCAGGAATTATGTACCAACCCAGCGGCCGCTGGTACATCACTCTTGGGGCCCTCTTGGGGCCCTCTGAGGGCCCTCTTGGAGCCCTCTTGGGGCCCGGGTTGGCCCTAAGAGGGCCCCAAGAGGGCCCCAAGAGGGCTCCAAGAGGGCCCCAGGAATTATGTACCAACCCAGCGGCCGCTGGTACATAACTCCTGAACCCTCTTGGGGCCCTCTTGGAGCCCTCTTGGGCCCCTTGTTGGCCCACATGATGGCTCCAAGAAGGCCCTAAGAGGGCCCCCAAACGGGCCCAAGAGGGGCCCAAGAGAGGCCTCAGAAACCGCTAGTAGGTGTCATCGATCAGCGCGTCTGGATGAGACCTCTCAGTGGTCTCTGGGGCGCGTCTTGGAGCCCTCTTGGGGCCCTCTGGAGCCCCCTGGGTGCTCCCAAAAAGGTTCCAAGGGACATCCGAAGGGGTGGAGGGGGAGTTGGACGGGGAGTGGAGGGGGAGGTGGAGGGGGGGCTGAGGTGGGTGGTGGAGGGGGGGGTGGAGGGGGGGTGGGGGGGTTGGTGGAGGGGGAAGGGAGAGGGAGAGGGAGAGGGGTTTGATTAGGAAACTGGAAGAGGTTTGACGACCACGACGACGACGACGACGATGACGACGACGACGATGACGGCGACAACCACGATGACGAGTGGGCGCCTTGGAGTTCTCGTGGGCCGTCTTGGAGGCGCCTTGGGGGCCTTTTGGACCGTCTGGAGGCCGTCGTGGGGCCGTCTTGGAGGCCTCTTGGGCGCTCTTGGGGCCATCTTGGGGGTCTCTTCGGCGGCACTGGGCCGTCGGCAGGCCGAAAACGTTAAAATCCATCAAGAGCCCACGGGAAATCAGCTGTCTTGGCCTCTTCGGGCCTTCCTGCAGGTCCCCTTGGAGGCTTCTTGGACTGCATTAAAAGCCTCTTGGGGGCCTTTGGGGCCGTCCTGGGCCATCTTGGGGCCATCTTGGAACGCCTCGGTTGCATCTTGGGCCGTCTTGGAAACATATTGGGGCCGTCTTGGGCTCTCTTGGAGCGATCCTAGCCGCCTTGGAGGCATCTTGGTGGCCATCTTGGGCCATTTGGGCCGTCTTAGTGGCGATGTGGCCACACCTTCTGGTCCTTCCGAGGGCAGGCGGTCTGGGCCGAAGGCCACTGGGAAGGGTTTGAAAATAAGAAGAGCAGCAAAATGTCTGGCACGCCGTCCACCCCTGTGGCAAGCACAGGGGGCGGCGGATCCAAGACGCCTACGGCGAATCACCGCCGCCCCCAGCCTTTTTGAGAAGCGCCAATGTGGCCAAACGTTGGGCCCCAGCTTGGCCAAGCTATCTGATTATGTATTCCCCCAGCCGCTCCGGAAACTCTTCGGGGAACACTTGGGGGAGGCTGAGGGGGAGGATCAGGAGAGGGAGGAGGAAGAGGAGGAGGAGGAGGAGGAGGAGGAGGCCTCTTGGGAGCCTCTTTGGGCACTCTTGTGGGGCCTCCTGGAGGCTTCCCGGGGGCCTCTTGGAAGCCTCTTGGGGGCCTCCTTAGGCCTCTTGGGGGCCGTGGGGGCGTCTTGGGGGCCTCTCCTTGGCCGTCTTGAAGCGTTCCTGGCCCGTCTGACGGGTCTGACGCCGTCGGAAGCCATCTTGGGGGCCTCTTTGAACCGATGTGGGGTCCTCTTGAGGCGCTTCAGGGCCGTCTTGGAGGCCATCTTGGGCGTCTTAGAGGCCTCTTGGGGAGGAGGAGGGGGAGGAGGAGGAGGAGGAGGAGGAAGAGGAGGAGGAAGAGGAGGGGGAGGGGGAGGAGGAGGAGGAGGAGGAGGAGGAGGAGGAGGAGGAGGAGCAGGAGGAGGAGGAGGAGGAGGTTGAGGAGGAGGAGGAGGAGGAGGAACAGGAGGAAGAGGAAGAAAAGGACTTTGAAAAGCAGGCGAAGAGGGAGTAGGAAGAGAAATAGGGAGGAGGACCAGGAGAAGGAGGCAGGGGGTAGGAGCGAGGAGACACAGTCGGACAGCGAGAGACAAAGTCGGAGCAACCCCAAACCCCCAGAGTCTGGGGGCGCCGAAGAGTCTGAGCAGCACCTTTTTCAGATCCCCTTGATGGGGATCTTCGCGTTACGGATCAAATGTTCTGGATGGTTTTCTGGTTTCCTACGAGCGGTCCCAAGCTGAGCCTCGGAGAAGATGCACCTGACGCCGAGGCTAAGTAAGGAATGTCCCAGTAAGCGGGCGCGCGATAGCATAGCACCGACCAGCCGAAAGGAGGAGGGGCCCGTCACGCGCGTCGTTTATCCCGAGCGCTGCGCAAGATGGCCACAGCAAATCATTGTTATCACAGTTCGTCGCTGTCGGCAATGCCACTCCCACAGTAAGCGCGGGCGGCGGCGGCAGCGAAGAAAGGTGAGAGGAACGTTGGACGTTGGACGACGACGCCCCCCACGGCCGGCCCGGCGCGGGGACTCCGCGCACGGACGGACGTTAGCCATATTAGCCAGAGCATCGGATCCTGGGGCGCGCTGACGGGCGAGCGGCGTCTCAAGCCTCTCTCGCCGGCCGCCGCGCCGCCGCTGCGCCCTGGGGCGCTCGCAACACATGTGCGAGCGCCCTTCATCAGCGCCTGTCGTCGCGCCTGCTGTCGCCGCGGCCCCAGCCGGCGCCCTGGCCGCGCCAGCCATGCCAGCCGCCAGAGCTCCATCTGGAGCCCAACCACGACGGCCACGAATCCTGCGCGTCCTGGCTCTGCTCGGGCTCGCGCCACGGCGGCCGCGCAGCGTCGGCCTACGGCGCCGTCTCCCGCGCGCGAGTCTCCGCCGCGGGCGCGAGGATGACAGGGGCGGTGCTGGATGACGCTGGGGCCCGATCACGGAGCTCTCAGGCGGTGGGTTCAGCGTCTCGGTGGCGCGCAGCGGCGCGCCGACTCTGCGGCCCCCGGCTGGCGCGGCGCTTCCCCCCTTCTGGTCCTTGCCGCCTCCATTGCTCGATCCCTCGGCGGTCGGCTCTGCCCAGCTGCAGGGGGGCAGCCGCGGCGCCCCTGCCATCCGAAGGCGTCCGCGCCGCGGCCAGGCGGCCCATGAGCTGGGCAGAAGGGGGGGCGCTTGCCGCCCTTTCGACCGCGGAAATTCGAAGCGCCCCGCTTAGCGCTCGAGACACAATCCCGAGACGCTGCCGGCCCCACTGAAGCTATGCCTCGGGGCCGTCGGATCCGGCTGAGGCACCATGGAGGGCGTCCATCCCGACAACGCAATCATCGCAGCGTTGACCAATTTTGCCTTCCACTGGACATGCACTGTCGCCTGTGCGCCCGCCGATCTGGCGCGACGAAGTTGGGCATCCACCGCGGATAGGCAACTGCCCTCGCCCACCCCGAGGACCTGCGAGCAGTCCTCGATCTGCGGGGCGCTGCTCATGCGGCGCGCTGGGTCGTGGGACCCAAGTCGTCGGCGCCCCCGCACGCCATCTGGACTGTCTCCCGATGCGCCGCGATCGAATTGAAGTCGTTGCGCCCGATGGCACGACGCGCTTTCGCCCCAGCCGCGGCCGCAGCGGCGCTGCCACCCGAAGACCAATGGAAATTCCTGGTCTTCTCGATGGCGACGCGGCACACCCGGTGAGAGCATCCACCCAAGTGAAACGATTGCCCAGGGTCATTGTTGCAGAGCGCCGGTGATGATGTTGCCCATACTGCTTCAACTTGGCAAAGTGACCACTTCTACCTTATGTTTGTTCATCTCCTCGTCGTCGCCCTCGATGTTCTTCTCGTCGATGAATTCCACGGTGCGAGCGATGCGATAGATGTCACCCTTCAAGACATCGTCTCGCTCTACTGCTTCACGGCGGCCAGTTGGCATCGAGCGAGCGCGCGCACGGAGGCGCCCCCCGCCTTCTGCGAACGAGCCTGGTAGCCGCGGGCACTGCAGACATAGTCAGCAGGCACATGTGGCTCACCTGCGGGGGCAGCGGCAGGTGCCCTCGGCACGCCCGCGGCGACAGCTGGGTGCGTCTCTAGGGGCGGCCAATGCAGCCGCAGCTCCTCTTCCATGCTGGCCTTGACGTCGACCAACGTGGGGGGCTTCTCCTGGCCCCCGTGGTCGGCCGACCACTGGCCCCAGCAAGCAGAGGCCTCATCGGCACTCCGATCATCAGGGCGCGCGCAGTCTCAGTCGACTAACTCCTCCAGGAGGGAGAAGTCGCACACGGAGCACTGGATCTCCATCTGGCCTGGCCGGCCGAAGTAGACGCCACCAGACTTCCACGGGCATGTCGGCTCTCCCCCAGCGGCTGGCATCCTCGAGTGGGCCCGACGCCAGATCCAGCGGAGCGCCAACTTCATAGCCGCTCGCTGCCGGAACAAACTCCGCCGCGGTGGCGTCGAGTCACGGGGCGACGACGGGCGCCAGGCGACGCGCGTCATGGCCTGCATCTGAAAGGCCGACTTGCCCTCAGGGCCGCACTTGCGCCGGAAGGCAACGCCGACTGAGTCCTCTTGCTGCCGTTTGTTCGTCGACATGCCCACGGCGAGATTTGTTTTGCAACCGACTTGGCTCACGCTCGTGGCCAGCGGCACGGAGCCAGCGACATAGTCGCTGCAACGCGGCTCGAGGCCGCTGGCGGTGGCATTTTAAAGGAGAGACCCTCGCCCATAATACAACGGGCCCGTCGCATTGGGCGCGATGTTCCGGGCAGCGACGAGGACAGGCGCCCGGCAATTGCAGCACTGCAACATACCAGTTCCCCTGCAAGCGGCGCGACAGACCACGTTGCCGTCGTCGCCCCATTGCGCAGGGAGGAGCACTTATGTCCTGGACCCCCCCCGGCGCGAGCTTGCCCCCCAAGTCTCCGACGCGGAAGAAACTCTCGCGCCACCTGCCCCAGTCGACCCAGCCCGAACAACCCGGGCGCGAGCGCAACGCCGCGAAGCCGGCGATCGCGCGCACTGGCGCGCAACTGATCTTCGGCCCCCGTACGCCAGCGACGCTGACCTTCACGACCTGGCGCGCCTCGGACCACCTCGGCGGGGACTCCGTCGCAAGCTCTCCGCCGGGGAGGGCCAAGTCACGGCCCTGGTAAAAGTGCGCACCAAAAGCCAGCATGAACGATCCTGAAAACTCGCCGGGGTTTCCCACGTCGAAGACGCGGGCGCTGGGGCCGTCTCCGCTGAAGTCACGCGCCCAGTCGCCTGGGCGGAGCCAGCGAGGAGATCCTCTGGATCCTGGGCGCGCCCCCCTTCTCCCCCACTCTTGACGAGCGCCACGGCGCCCGCGGCTCCTTCCTCACCCTCGACGAATCCAACGACGCTGTCATCGGCAACCCAGTAGCCAGCCGCCCTCGAAAAAAGTTACACTGGCCCACCCCTCCGAGGTCGCGCTCGGGCGCCGCCGCCCGGCCGGTCATTGGCTGTAGCGCGGCAGCGTTATCAAGCGGGGCGACGAGTGACATGCGCAGGTTCCAGCAGCTGGGCTCGCACCTCACATGCAGCCGCGGGGCTTCGTCAAAGCGCAGCGAGTTCAACTTGCAAGCCCTGGTCCGAAGCCGCTTGACCGTTGGCGGTTCGACGTCGCCGCCGCTAGTGACGCAATCACCAGACGACTGGCCGCGCCCGAAACTTTCGCCCCACTGGGGCGGCTGGGAAGTCAAGCGTTTCTCGGCCTCGGCCAGGTCGACGCCCAGCACCTGCGCGATGATATTCGGCATGGTGGCGATGGCGCGCACGAAGCGCGCCCGCGCTCTATCGTGGCGGGCGGCAGCAACCACGCCGACAACGACCTCGACCACCACCTGGGCCCCGGAGCTCAACGCGCGCGCCTCGCTACTGCCCCGCTGCGCGTTAACAAATGGACGATAAACCCAGCCATGCGCGCCGCTTTCTCCTCCCCGACGACGCTGTACTTCGCGCCTTTGGATTGGTCGATGCCTGGGAAGATCACGGAGGTCCCGGGTTCCGATGGCGCGGCTGCGCGCTGGGAGGAAGCGCCGGCTTCCTCCCGCTCCGCAGGTGTAAAGGAAATGCCCTGGGCAGCCCCAGCAGCGCATCTCCCGCCATGTCCCCACCATCGCCCGCGAGGCCGTCGCTGGAGCGCTCGTGGGAAGCCTTGACAGCGTCCGACGCCAGGCCTGAGTCGCGCGCCTCCTCGCAGGCCCCGGCAACGTTGGGCGCCGCTGCTCGAAGGCGCGCAGCCGTCGAGCCCACCGCCGGCAAGAGCGGGCCCGTGGGGCCGAACCCCAAGTGCACAAGCTCCTGGTAGACTGGCCCACCTTTCTCCTCCAGCTCCCGTTTCAACCGCCGACAACTGCGCCCCCTGGGAAGAGTCGGGACTGCAGCGAGGCCGAGGCACTCCGATTCGCAGGCGAACGGGGCGTCGATGGGAATCAGCGCCGGCGCGATGTAGAAATTGGGGTGGCTTTGCTCTCGGCGCTGGGCGCTGAAAACCGAAGAGTCGCTGACGCAGTCAGCCTTGTCCTCCACTGCCTCGAGTTGTGACTGGGCACGCCCATCACCTTCCCTTTCCTCCTCTGGCTGGCTCTCAACCTCGTCGTCATCCGAATCAGATTCTTCGCCGGACCCTAGTCCCGACGGGGGAGAAGGCCCGGAGAACTGCGCCCCTCGATCTCGAATTTCGACGCCCCCGTCGGTCGGCAACAGGCGGGCGCGCGACTCGCCACGATCAGACTCTCCATATTCTTCTGGCGCCGGCCTGATCGCGGCGCCCGCTGGGGGCGGCCCCTGGCCTCGACCTCAGGCGCCCGCGACACAGTCGGAGGCGCTTCGGCAATTTCCGCGCCCATCCCCGTCTCGACTGCATCTGGTCCTCGAAGCACTATCATAAATTATTGTTATTTCTCCGTTTGCTCCTCCTCGTCTGGGGCATCTGAACTGTCGGACGCGTCGGCCTCGATCACCTGCCGAAACCTCCCGCCAAAGAGCTCCTTTTCGTGCTTGATGATCTCAGCCAGGGCCTCGCGCGCCACGGGCGGCTGAAGCCCCACCGGCGAGGCGCGCGCGCGCGCCCACCTGCGCGGCCGTCCGGCAGCGACAGAAGGAACAGCGAAGCACTGGACGGCGCCGCGGGCCCTCCCCCAGCCGCAGGCAAGTTGCGCGGCAAGGGTGCACATATACCGGCTGCATCTGCCCCCGCTGCCCGGACAACCAGACGTCGCAGCTCACCACGGCCAGGCCCAGGACCTGGCCCATCCGCCGGGGCCGAGGCCGGCGTCGCGGAGCTCCTGCGCGGCCACCCCGCCCTCGAGCTCGAGTCGGCGCAGCAGCGCGGCGCGTCGCCGACTCGCCCCTAGTATCCTGAGGAGCCCTTTCGGGAGGAGCCACGCTATCGGAGCGCCAGGGTGGCGCAATGAATATGCCGACTCCTGGGCGCCCCCCGCTGCGCGCCCCCGCCCCTGCCTCGAGCCCCTACGCCGCGGCGGCTTCGGCAACGACGACGCGCCCGCGACGCAGTCGCGGGGCGCTTCCCCAGTCCGGAGTTTCTGCCTCCTGCGCCGCCTCAACCTTGCCCGCCCGCGCGCGCGTCGCGAAATCCTCTGGCGCGCGGTGAACGCAGCGAACGTCGACCTCCACGTTCTCCGGGGGCCAGCACCCGAGCGTCGATGTCGCCCGCCAAGCGGCGCGCATCGGGGACCTGCTCTGCCGGGATCGACATGGCCGGGCAAGCGAAAGAATGCCGCGTCAAAGCTCCTGCCACGCACGGCCATGCCTTCCAGGCCCCGCCAACCCCCTCGGCAGCAACCAATCCGGGAATCGACATGGTCGGCTCCACTCTGGATCATGTCGGCAGCCCGGTCATTCTGACAGGCGCCGCGCAAAGACCCCTTGGCCACGCGCATGATGGAGGTCTCTTCGGAGTTATTACCACAGATATTCTGGCCCCCGCTCATCTCCATAGCGGCGCGCATCATCCCCCTGCTCGGGGCTCGAGCTGCCCCCCCAGCCCAATAGGTCGACGCAAGGCCGAAGCGGGGTCGGATCGAGAAAGGTCGCAAAGTCTGCCTCGAAATTGTCGCCCCGCGACGCCATCGGATTTAATGCCCACTATATCTGGGCGTAGGCCTGCCGAGGCGAGGCGAAGTAGAAGGGGGAGGCAGTCCTGATGGCGTTCTGGGAGCGCGGGCAGCACTGCTGTTCTCTGCCGCCAAGCTCGCGCCCACCGCCTCGACGCCCGCACCCCGAGCCGGAGGGGCCACGCCCTGGACGTCGCAAGCGATGTCCAAGACGCCCCCGAAAATTTCCGCGCGCAAGAGCACGCCGAGTGGATGGTCGGGATAGCGTCACTGTCGGCGAAGGCACATGCTCCTTCAGCCTTCTGCTTCTTCCCCGCATAGTCATTGCACCTGCCCCCGCCCATCTCCCACGAGGGGATGACTGCGCAGGCGTCGAGCGTGGCGCAGAGCCTGCAGGGGCCAAGGGCGCGCGAAAATAACTGCATGCCCCAGTTGGGCACCATCTTGTCCTCGACAAACCCAGGCGGCAAGTTCGCGGGGCTGGCCAGGATGTTCTGATCGTCACGGACGAGCCTCGCCTTGCCCCTGTCGGACAAGTCGCACAGCGCCAAGTCGGGGACAGCCGACTCGCGAAGACGCTGGGCCGCGAGCCACTCGATAACACTGTTACAGAGGCAGCAGAGAGCAGGCGCTGGCGCGTAGGTCGCTCTCATCTCGGAGGCCCGCCACGCCCTGGACCCCGCGTTCATCGTCTCGCCCTCGCACCAATCATGTGCCACGCCGATTCAAGCGCAAGCTTCTTGGGACAAGCTGCTCCCACGGGCGCCTTTTCAGGGGCATCTGGTAGTCAGACTCAGAGTCGCGCGCTGCGCTCCGAAAAGTTCTGCGCGCTGCCGTCGGAGCTGCTGGCCCACACGGCTCAAGCACCGCCTTCGGCTGGATCCGCATCTTGGCGTCGAAGCGGGCCAGCTTCCAACGCTCGGCGATGCCGATGCATGCTTCGGCGCGCGAGTCGGCAGCCACCCGCGCTGCGGGGGCCGCCTGCCCCCGGCAGCGGGACGCCGTCGTCGAGCGGGAACGCGTAGACAAGCGCGTCTGCCCAGGGAGCCGTGCTCCATGGCTCCTCGCTGCGCGCCCACTCGGCGAACGCCGAAATCGACGTCGATAGATTGGAGCGGCGGAATTGCCAGCGCGACGGCATCATGAAGGGGCGGGAGGTCCCCCATGTCGCCAGTCAACAGTGGGCCATTGACCGTAACCCTTTGGTCAGGAAATTGATTCTCGGCGGGGTCGTTGACGTCGGCGGTGACACTCCAGGATCCGTGCTGGCACCAACACAGCCGCTGCGCGGCAGGTCCATTGGGTCCTGATTGAGCTCGATGCAGATGTGGCAGGCGTCGCGCACGAACTTCGCTGCCTCCTCGGCGAAGGCCTTCCCAGGGCGGTTCAGCATAGCATCTCATCGGCGAAATACCAGAGGTCGCCCTTGGGACGCGAGCCCTTCCGGCAGAGCTATGAGCCCCGCAACCATGTCACTATGCACGAATATCCCTGCTCCTCCCATTACAGAATGCGGTCGTTTGCCACCACAGCCGCCTTGCTGGTGAGTGGGGCCCGGGCCGCGCGCGCACCCTCTGAGGAAGGGATGCCCCAAGACTGAGCGCCGCCCAACCCGATGGCGACCATTTACCATGTACGTAACCTGAGTCTTGGCGCACAGGGCCTGTGCGTCGACCAGCTGTCTCACCTGGTCAAGCACCTCTTCCTCATGCTGAAAATACCCTTTGCCGACACCAGCGGGGGCGGTACCCCGCAATCGATGGTCGCTATGCGTGTCGATTGTGTTCCCGCTCCACACGATGACCCGAGCCCTCTGTCCACGCTGTGAATGGCAGTGGTTGCCGATGTTGAAGTCGATATTCTCCATTGCCTTCTCGACGAAGAACAACAAATCTCCTACAAGTCGGTGCCTCCACAACGGTAGCCGCAGCAGCCGCTGGTCACGCTTGCCAGCTGGGTGCGCAAGAAGCCGTCCGATCGGGGCTTCCAAGTCTTCACTGTAGAAGATGCACGTGGAGTCGGTGAACAGCATGACGCCGATGTCTGAGTGGACAGTGCCCATGCCGTAGTTGCTCGACTTCCAATTGTCCATGAGGGCCCCCTTGTACCAGCTGTCGATCGGACGCCCGTGCTCCGCGCGGGCGAGGATGCTCTGGCCAGAGAACCTGGAGTGGATTCGGGCCATCTCCAGAAGGGCCCAGAGTGTTGCGCAGGCGGCCGGGAAAGTGAGTTCCATCACGCGCTCGAAGACCTGCGCCTTCGTCACCTCCGCGTGTCTGGTCGTCATCTCGAAAACGAGTTTGGCGTGCTCGTCTGGCGGGGTGACCGAACCGACGACGCGATGGGGGCCGCGGCCGACTTCAAGGTCCGCGGGGGCTGGAGAACGGCCGCGTTCCAAGCCCCGTTGGCCCCCGACGTCGTCTGAGCGGCCCCTTGTCCACGAAGCCGGCGGGCGCCTCGCCGGCTCCGACGACGCAGTCGGCGGGAGCCGGGCCCTTGGAAGGGGCGCGCCCCCCCTGGCCCGGCTGTCTTCCCGTCGAGCCCCTCGCCGTCGTGCCCGCCCGCCCCGACGGGGCCCCTCACGCCCGACCCCTCTGCCGATCCGAGGAAGAGACAACGCCGTAAACACAAACTTTTGGCGCTCCGCGCGGATTTCTTGGATCCGCGTTGCACCCCTTGCCAAGAAACGCCCTGCTCGCGGCGGCGGAGCGGCGGGCGGCGGAGGGGGCGCGGGAGGCTCCCACACCGTCGAGCCGGCGACCCCCTCCGCCGCCTCGGCGCCGCGGCTGCGCCGAGGTGGCGTCGCCAGGGGCCTCGGCCTCGGGAGGGGTCGCCCGAGCTGGGTCGCGCCATGGGCAGGCGCCCTCCCGACGTTTTCTGGGGGATCATCTGGGGAAGTTCTGGAGGCATCGAAGCCCCGACTCGCCCCCGAGTCACAGGGAAGTCGCCCCCAGACGCCCGGAATCGCCTCCAGATGGCCCATCACGCTCCCAAGGCGTGCCACGCAAGCCTCCCGACGACCCGAAACGCCCCCCAGACGCTCCAACGCCCCAAACAAGGCGATGCTGCCTGCCGCGGAGTTCCTCTCTTCTTATTTTTAGCAGACGGTGCCAGGGATGCAGCGGACAGCGCTGTACATGAGCTGCTACTTCAGTCCGCTATAACTTGCTGCGTGAAAGATGCTGCTGCCCTGGGCGGCAAAGCCACACAACTTCTCGAGCAGTAATTATCCCACACGGCACTTGAGTGATCAGTTCTGAACGGTTCTTTGAAGCTTGAGTGCTCAGTCCTGAATTCTTGTTTGGTTTCCCGTTGGTTCGTGGTTGTTTCTGTTGGATTCCGCCTTTTCGGCCCGCTGACGCTCCACAACAGCCCCAGAAAGACGAAAGCTCGCCCCAAGACGGTCTCAGAGGCCCTCCAGGGCGCCACACTGCTCAAAAGGCCCCAAAGACGCCA